TGACTCTCACTGTTGTCCGCCCTCAGCACTCGCGTCCTCACGCCTCCGATTACCAATACACAATAAATGAATTTGTTCTGATCGTCCTCCTCCCGTGCCATTCAGTGCTGCGGAGCCGCCGCTGTCTTTGTGTTGTTATTACTCTAGCCGCTGCGTACCACTGACAAGTTCTTCGTGTCATTTTTCTAGCAGCGACACATCCGTGATAATTTGTTTGTGTCATTATTCTTGCTAAGACATGTCAGTGATAATAATTCTCTGTGTCAGGATTCTAGCAATGACACATCAATGACAATTTCTTCGTGTCGTTATTCTTGCTAAGACATATCAGTGATAATAATTCTCTGTGTCAGGATTCTAGACACGACATATCAGTGACAATTTCTGCGTGTCTTTATTCTAGCTACAACATATCAGTGATACTTTCTTCGTGTCGTTATTCTAATTACTGACCTGACTGTGTTGCAAGTGCCGTAAAACACTTATTAAAACAAACATTTCTAGCTACGACATACCAGTGAAAAGTTCTTCGTGTCATAATTCTAGCTATGACATACCAGTGATATTTTTTTCCCCGTGACATAATTCTAGCTATGACATAACAGTGATATTTTTTTCGTGTCATAATTCTAGCTTCAACAACATACCCGTAATAATTTCTTTGTGCCGTTACTCCAGCTGCTACACACCAGTGATACCTCAGTGAGGGGCCTTTGTTGTTGCGTTGCACTGTTCGGATGTTCCAGTGCGTACCTGCTAACGTGAGTTGGAATCTCTTTTTTAACATCTTATTGATTTCGCTTTAATATGATATTCTGGGTCACCGCGATCAATCAGAACATTGTTCAGACTGGTCGGTTTTCCCGCACTGCTTTCACATTGAGGAATTTTGTCAAGTGGGTGGTTGGGGGGTGCCCTCTGGTTGTCTCTTCTTCTTTAGTATCGTGTGTGTGTGTGTGTGTGTGTGAGAGAGAGAGAGAGGAAGAGATAGAGAGAGAGAGAGAGAGAGAGAGAGAGAGAGAG